CACTAACATATAATAATTTATTAAAATGATTAATAGATTATAATTATTTATTAATAAATTATATTTGTTTATTAAATATTCACCCACCGAAAATCTGCATTCAATTAAAAATTATTTAAATTGATCGTGGCTAAAATCTTACCTTATTACAATATGTGATTATACATTTCTTGCGCACGTAAGTATCTAATTTATTTTATTATTAAATTTATCAAATTTGTTAATTCCTTTTAATGACTTACCTTATTTTAATAATACATACGTTGCACAAGTTGTAACTTTCTTTAGTCTATTTTAATTAATTTTTAAATCTATCAAATATAATAATTCATATTAAATGTCTTACCTTATTTAAAAACTACATTACTTGCACAATAATGAAATTAAGCCAAGAATATTAATTGGTCGATCACTAATAATTTACTAAACTTACTAATAATTAATACATGTATTAATAATTTTTCTTGTTAGATATTACTTGCGCAAGAATATAAATTAATAAAATATGTATTAATAAATTTCCTTATTACAAATACCGAAAACAATTCACTCTTGATATCATATTGATTACATTTTTAGTGTGATTTATCGATTTGTATCTAATTAGGTTGTTTGTTATTATTAACTTACCTTATTAATATTGAATATACAATTTCTAATATATAGTTTCTATATACAGTTTCTCATATGATTAATCGTATAGAATATATAATATTCTCAATAATTTATTAGAGAATATTATATTTATTAGCTTATCATGCAAGCTAAATCATTGAGAAACNTTATTAACTTACCTTATTAATATTGAATATACAATTTCTAATATATAGTTTCTATATACAGTTTCTCATATGATTAATCGTATAGAATATATAATATTCTCAATAATTTATTAGAGAATATTATATTTATTAGCTTATCATGCAAGCTAAATCATTGAGAAACGTCCACCAATTTACTATATATAAGACATTCACAGTATGAGAAATGAAGCCACTGAACTTTTTATTCTGAACTTTTTATGTTGATACTGTTTTTGTTATTTTACATCATTAAGCTTTTATACATATACATATATCATCAGAGCTGACTTTTCTTTTGGTTTATATGCAGATGCCCTATTATAACGATTTCACCACGATGCAGGTAATTTTTTTATCTTTCTATATGATTTGATTAAACGTAGATCTATTTGAATTCTAATTCTTACTTTTTTTAAATATGTTCATATCTTTCTATTTAATGATTGTTTGTTAGAGATTAGAAGGAGAATAATGCTTTCATATCTATTTTTCTATTGGCTTTTTAATTTACAATTGATGTTTCCTACTGTGGATCCATATGTACTTAAATTTCTCTTCACATTCATGTTATTCAGAGACATGAACATTACAAATGATCATATCATCCAAAACACGTAAACTACAATGTAAGTTTCATGCTTTGTTACTTTCTCTATGTTTTTCAAATAGTTATTTGCTTATACACTAAAGAAAAAAAAAATCTTTAATCAATATTTTATTATAAAAGTTAGTATAACTTTTTATACATTTTATCAACTTTGTACTCAAATATGATTTTTATACAATTTATCATATTATAAAATGTATATCCTATAAATTCATATATGTAAACTATATAGTTCTTTTTTGTCATCTTTTTTTTGTCATCATAAACTATATAGTTCTATGTCAATTATAATATAACTTTATACAATTTATCACATAATAAATTATGTATATAATTCATAGTTAGAATATGATATGTGTAACATTATTGTATATATTTCTAATACTAATGTTAGAATTAAATCGGTTATATACAAATTTCTATATTAAATATAAGTGATAAAACATAATTATTATATATTTCTATAGATTTACAATATATCAAAATCAAAACTATTTATTATTCTTTAATTTTATAACCATATTATGGTATTAGGAAAGATATACTTTGTTGGTAAAGACTTTTAATTAATTAATTCGTTTATTAATAACTTGCCTTATTTTGCTATCAATTACTTGCACAAATTTATATGATAATGGTGATTTGAGTTAGAAAAGCCCAAAACTATTATCCATTTAGAAAACCACAAATATAATGGTGATATGAGATTTAGAAAAGCCAAAACTATTATCTTTATTATATTTATATATATATATATATAAATATAGGGATCTTAAAAATGTAATTTACTATATATATACATTTGTTTGTTTTTTCTATTAACAGATAAATAACACAGATAAAAGACCGTTTGTAGTTGACTACAAACCATTTTTCAGTTTGTTTCAATAGCGATATGCAAATCAATAATATTTTCGTCTCGATAAAATTTAGAAATCTATTAAATTATTTTATATTGTACAATTGCTAAAAAAATTGACCATTTTTTGCAGGTTAATTTCTATGGGATTTTTTTAATTCATAATTGTTCTTCTTATTCTATATTAATTATGAATTATATTTAAATTTTTATCACATTTTCTATGGGATTGTGATATCTATGAGATTTTTATCACATTTTTTTAATATGTCACTGTCTCCTGTATATTTTTCTTACATTTGTTTTTTTAATAGTTAACTTTTATTAAAAACATACTAATGATGTTAATTTTTTTTTACTTTAGTTAACTTTCATTTGTTTTATTCTTATATACTTTTTGTGACTTTTTTAGTTTTAGTTTCAGTTTAATATTGAATTTAGTACACATACTTTATGTGTATATGTTTTTAAAACATAATTTTTCTTTTAAAAAATTAAGCGACAAAGAGCCTAATTAAACCGATCCAAAAACAAACTGAACTGAATATAAATTGAACTGAACATAAACCACACGAACCAGACTATATAAGGTGTATTTCAGTTGAAAAAATATATTAAAACCGAACTAAACAAACCAAACCAAAAAAGTAACGATTTGCCCACCCCTACTACATCCTAGAGATTTGCGCAAATCTTTTCTCAGCATTGAAAATCTCACTTTTTCCACTAACTCCCACATTTTAACTCAATAGATACTCCTGTCTCAACATTATACTTTATTTTTATACCCGCACAGGGTGCGGTCTGGTCACCTAGTTTTAATTAAAACCATAGTTTTAAAATATTTCAGTGGAGATATCTGTAATTACTTTTAAAACAGAAGGTCACTTTAAAAAGAGTCTTCAGTTTTAATAGTATAGATTAGATTTCGACCCACAGAACCATACGGGTATATATTTTCATGTTTATATATAAATATTTGTTTTAGAGATCAAAATATACCTTTTTAATGTTACTCACATATTTAAATATTTTTATAATTATTTCAAATACAACAATTTTATAGTTTTAATGCTATAAATTCAAATCATCACATATATATATTTCTTCTTATTATATATTTTTCTTACTGATTTTGTGTTTGATTATTAAACAAATTTCTTATGTATAAAACAAAATATTTGAAATTTATTTTGTTTATATTTATTATGATCGTAACCCGTAATTCAAAATGTTAGATATCTATTTTTTTTATTTTTTTTATATAATAAATTACTGTATATAAAAAGTTTAGATAAATTAACTTTTATACATGAATTATATAGTTTACGAATGTTAACCCGTTCTACCAATATATTATATTTTTAGAATAAATATTTTATATTTATTAACATAAATGTACTAACTTATCAATTTCAAAAATATTTATCATATTTAGTTCAATATAATGGTTTTCTTGTAAAATGATAGATATTATTAGAAAATAGATAAAATAGGATATAATTTTATTCTTTTCATTTTATAAAATATAGCTGAATATATATATTTTAATGTAATAACATTTCATGACTAATTATGAAATTAGTGAAATTTATGTTCAATTTTTGACAATTAAGATCTTGTTATAATATTTGAACAGATTTGATAGAATTTATGAATATAGTAAAAGTTTCAAGATCTAGAAATAGTCTACTTTTAAGAAAATCACACATGAAATAATGTTGTGATTTCTATTTTAATATATAAGATTTAGGAAAAGAGATGAGTAGATCACGGCAACACACAATATCATATATAGATGAAGAATATTCTTCTTTTAAACCCTCAAGTTATAACATATTGTGTAGATACATTTAAAACCAACCAAAAATGGAAAATATTCGTAAACAATAGGTTTAAAAGATCTTGTTAAATTAGATTTGAAAATATGTGTTTTGAAAAATCTCGAGGTAAATAGATATGTGATCTTCCGTTTTGAAGATATATGTTTATGTGTTTGAGCATGTCTAGTTAGAATTATGTGCCTAAATGGACTGAACATAGTTACAAAAAAATGGACTGAACAGAAATTTTTGAAAAAAAAAACTAATTAGGAAACAATATATTTTGCTAAGATATTATTCACGATAATATTGGTTGATATATAAATTATTTATATAAGAATTTAGATTAGTTTTTAAGGACAATATTGTTCCAATCGTGGTTCAGAACATTCTAGTTCGTAACTGCAGTATCATTGAACACCCTCACCTATTTCGATTTGAGACAAAAAAATGTCCGCCCTTTAGGGCGGGTTATAATGTTCTGAACCACGATTGGAACAATACTGTCCTTAATATCAAATCATTTTACATATCAAGTTTGGGGTGTTTCGGTTCACAGCATCCAAGCAATTGGAAGTTACATTCATGGCACAAATGGAGAATCCAATGGTATTCTTCCAATGGTGAGGTTCAATGATACTGCTCGCTATGTTGACAAAGGAGGAGGCAAGAGAAATTTATGTTCTTATAGAATTGATTTTACGCTTAACCAACGTGGTTTTGTGGAAGTCAATGGTTATATTAAGAGTGATATATCATTAACCCATATTATTAATAATAAGATGAATGATAAATGATTTCTAATAAGTGTCCATTTTTTTAAAAAAAATCACACATAAATTGAAGTCATGACTTCTGTTTTAATATATAAGCTACATGTAAAACAACATCATATTAATAAAGTCTGACTAAATTATTTTTTTTTTCCTCAGGTAGTCTCCTCTTGCATTTCTTGCACTTTTTGTAATCTCATGTGCCTTCCCCTTCCTCACAGCTATTGGGATGGACTGAGAACTTTCGGCGCATGCCGCTGGCGGAAAGAAGGTGTCAGGATGTTCAATGGCAAAATCGAAATCTCTCACTTCCAAAGCTTCAATAATATCCAAGACCAAGTGTTCTTGTAGGATGTTTTGGTTTTTAGTGATTATCAAGTCATTTGTTCCTTCAGGATAATGCTTCTTTGCCCAAAACAGAAGCCCCACTAACATCATGTTCATTCAAGCAACTCTATCCCCTGGAATAGTAAGATCATCGTATATAAATATTAGTCAGAAAAACAAAGAGATAGATACATAGATAGATAGTGAGAAAAGAGGGGTTTAAATAAAAAGTAAAACACCTTCAAATATTTTGGCATTAATTCCAGTATTATGATATTCGTCAAGCAAATCTGTGGGGGTGGATATACCAAAGTAAGCTTTGATTTTAATCCGGCCTCGATAACTGTCTTTCTCAATAGCTCTCACGATTTTCTTTTTAAAGAAAAGAGGATCAGGGACTGAGAAATCATCGACGATGTCGAACATAACATATGTGGAACGCACTAGGAGGAGAAGGAATATCAAGACATGATTATGAAAAAAAAGATTAGTCGGAACCCTAACCCTAATTCTTGATCAGCCACCAATCTTAACTTATTCATCCCGATGAAGAACCCTAATCCCGTATTCGAGGAGTTCCCGAATCTCAACTTGTTTGCGAATCCTATACTCAGCAAAGTTCCGATCTGATCCCAGCAAGCTCTAATCCGCAATCCGATTGAAGCACGTTCCAGGTTCCGATTCGCGATCCGAGAAGTTCTGATTTGCGATCTAAGTTCCAGCTTGTTCGATCTTCTTCTCGTGTTCGGTTCATTCAACCCAAATTTTTGATTAAGGTAATTCTTGAAACTCTAATGATAAGAAATCAAAACCCTAAAATCAAAACCCTAATTTGCGAATTAAACCCTAATAGATCCGTTAGGTTGTATGATCCGTTTAAGTTTTTAGTTGGAACGCAATAATGTTTTGCTTGATTGTTTTGATTGAGGTTTAAATAAACACTTAGAACCTGGATGCTAGGATTGCACCATACACGACCAAATTGTTAAAAACCTAATTCAACCAGATTGTTTATGCTTGATTGATTGTTTACGGTTTACATGATTACATTTATATGAACACTTAGACTTTGTATGCTAGACTTGTATCAAACCCATATGACCGCATATAGTAATTTCTTGTTAGGGATATCTTGTTTGGTCGCATAACTTGTTTGCATTATAACCGTATGATTTGTTTGCATTATATGACCACATGAACTTTAGACGGTTAAAAAATCTAAGTATAAGACATATATGATTTCAGATGTCAAAAAACAACAACTTGGATTTTGCTGCCCTAAATCTCTCAAGAGATAATTATTTACATGGGCACTTGATGCTAAGATCATCCTGAAATCAAAGGGACTCGGTGAATGTATCACGAAGGCAATAATTCAACTGAGAAAGATAGATACAGAGCTATCCCGATCATTAGCCATCATCTTATTGAGAGTCTCAAAGATCAGTATTTGACAATTGAGAATCCTCTAGATCTTTGGACATAATCGAAAACGAGATATGATCACCAAAGAATGGTGATATTACCAAAGGCTATGTATGATTGGAGGAATCTCAGAATCCAGGATTACAAGTCCGTGGATGAGTATAACTAAGCCCTATTTAAGATTGTTTCTTAATTGAAATTGTGTGGTGAGGATGTAACAAATAAGGATATGTTGGAAAAGACCTTCTCCACCTTCCACACAAGTAATGTGTTGTTACAACAACAGTACCGTGAAAAGGGCTTCACAACATATGCAAATATGATCTCATGTCTATTACTAGCTGAGCAAAATAATGAACTGTTGATGAGGAACAATGAATTGAGACCTCTTGGATGAACCACACTACCTGATGCAAATAAGGCCGTAGAGGAAAAGAAAGAGGCTAAACACGTCCACAATAATAGCCAACACGGCCGTGACCGTGGAAAATGGCAAGGACGTGGTCGAGGTAACTACAACGGCCGAGGGAACCATTATGGGAACCGAGGCCGCAGGTACCTACCCAATTTTAGTTGTGGTCGAGGCAAAGGCCGTGGTATCTCCTTTAAACCACAACACTCGACCAACTCGACGAAATCAGTGTGCCATAGATGCGGAATGAGTAACCATTGGGCTAAGACATGTAGAACTCTCAAACATATTGTTGAACTCTATCAAGAGTGTTTGAAAGGGAAGAATCCTGAGGCCCACTTGATCTATAAAGATAATGAAGATGATGTTGATCATGGACGAGATGATAATATGGAGTATGAAACTTCAGATTGCTTAAAAGAATCAAGTTGATTTCGACCATCAAACTTTTGTGTTTTTTTTGCTTTATGTTTTTTTTTGTTTTGAATTTGTTTTCTTTCTTTGACTACTTAAAATTAATGAATAAATTACTGGTCTTTACTATGCCAAGATCAGTATGATAGAGGCTAATGCCACGGTAAACAAAGTCTATACCGAGAACTTCACTCTTTGGCACGACCAGTTGGACCACCCCGGTTCGACCATGAAGCGAAAATTAATATCTAATACAAATGGGCACACATTGAAAGAAAGAATAGTTATCCTTAAGCACCTCACGTGTGTAGCATGTTCACAAGAGAAACTCATTGTTAGGCCATCACCAATCAAAGTGACTAAGAAAACAATAAACTTTATGGAGAGAATACAAGGTGACATTTGTGGACCATTACACCCACCTAGTGGGATGTTTATATACTATGTTGTCATCATTGATGCATCCACAAGATGGTCACATGTATGTCTACCATCAACCCACAACTTGGCGTTTGTGAGGTTACTTACTCAGATAATTCGTTTAAGAGCCCACTTTTCTGATTTTCCTTTAAAGACTATACGTCTTCATAATGCTGGTGTATTCACGTCCCAAGCGTTTAATGATTATTGTATGTCCATGGGGTAAGTGTAGAACATTCTATGGCACATGTACATACACAAAACGACTTGGTCGACTCCTTCATTAAACGCATACAACTAATTTCTAGACCATTACTTATGAGATCAAAACTCCCGGTCTCAGCTTGGGGACATGCAGTTTTACATGCAGCCGAACTAATTATCATCATGCCATCTAGTGAGAAAAGATATTATCCGTCCCAATTGCTTACGGGTCACGAGCCAGAAATATCCCATCTTAAAACATTTGGCTGTGCCGCCTATGTACCAATAGCTCCACCACAGAGAACTAAGATGTGACCTCAAAGGAGGATGAGGATATATGTTGGATATGAATCTCACACCATAATTAAGTACCTTGAGCCAAGCACATGTGATTTGTTTAAGGCCAGGTACGCGGATTGTCATTTTGATGAATCCAACTATCCAACATTAGGGGGAGATAATAAGCTGGTAAAAGTAAAAGAAATTACATGGTCTCAACCATCTTTGTCCTCGCAAGATCCTCGGACTTAAGCGTGTGATTTAGAAGTCCAAAAGATAATACACTTACAAAAGCTAGCTAATCAATTGCCAGATTCTTTTGCTGACCCGAATAGAGTAACAAAGTCATACATAACAGCTGTGAATGCACCAATTCGTATTGATGTCCAAGAAGGAAACGGTCAAGTTGCTACAGAGTCTAAAGCACGTTGGAAACGTGGTAGACCAATAGGTTCCAAAGATAAGTACCTTCGGAAATTAAAGAAATGTGCTGGAACTGATTCCATGGTCGAGGGAACCCTAGACATAGGACGAGCTAGCCGAGCCGGTTGAACCTAATGTATCAAATAATGAGGTTTGGTGAGGTTTGGGACGCTAAACTTTATGGTACTGATGGTCCAGATAATAATGAGATCTCAATCAACTATGTCATGTCTGGAATACTATGAAACAGAAAGAATGTTGACATTGATGATATATTTGCATGCAACGTAGCACTTGAAATTATGGACATGAACGAGGACCATGAACCCATGTCTATTTATGAGTGCACTCAACGATCAAATTGGATCAAATGGAAAGAAGCTATAAACGTGGAGTTAAATTCTTTAAAGAAGAGGAATGTTTTTGATCCAATAATTCGGACACCTCTTGATGTTAAACCAGTTGGACATAAATAGGTCTTTGTGAGGAAAAGGAATGAACATGGTGAAGTCGTGAGATATAAGGCACGACTGGTTGCACAAGGATTCTCACAGAGACCAGGAATAGATTATGAGAAGACATACTCCCCTGTGGTGGATGCTACTACTTTTAGATTCCTAATAAGTCTGGCCATAAGAGAGAACTTACACCTGCGGTTAATGGATGTAGAAACTACATATTTATATGGTCCACTGGATAATGAGATATACATGAAAGTACCAGAGGTTATTGAGCTGAAAGACAAAGCAAGTTCTTGAGAATAATATTGTATAAAGTTGAACAAGTCACTTTATGGATTGAAACAATCAAGTCGAATGTGGTATAATAGACTAAGCGATTATTTAATGAAAGAGGACTATAATAATGATCCAATAAGCCCATGAATATTCATAAAGAAATCCGACCATGTTTTTGTAATAATATTAGTGTATGTTGATGACCTGAATATTCTAGAAACCTCTAGAGAAATTTCCCAAACGGTTGAATACCTTAAGAAAGAGTTTGAGATGAAATATTTGGGCAAAACAAAATTTTGTTTGGGATTACAGATTGAACATCTTCAAGATGGAATCCTTGTGCATCAAAAGACATATACAGAGAAAGTGCTCAAACGTTTTAACATGGACCAATCTCACCCATTGTTAAGCCCCATGGTCGTGAGATCTCTCGGTCTAGACACAGACCCGTTTGGTCCGAAGAAGGCCGGTGAAGAGTTCCTGGGGCCCGAAGTTCCGTACCTCAGTTCCATAGGAGCCTTAATGTACTTGGCGAGCCATACTAGGCCGGACATATGTTTTGCAGTGAACTTATTTTCTAGATTTAGTTCATGTCCGACCCAAAGTCACTAGAACGAGATTAAACATCTTCTTCGTTACCTACAAGGAACGAAATACTTGGGTCTATATTATACTAATCAAACCAAAGAAAGGTTAATTGGTTTTGCTGATGAAGACTTTAGTTCAGATCCACACAATGCTCGTTCTCAGACAAGTTATGTCTTTACCCACGGTGGGACTGTTATAGCTTGGCGGTCTATGAAACAAACAATGGTGGCCACATCATCCAATCATGCCGAGATATTGGCCATCCATGAGGCCAGTGGTGAGTTAGTCTGGTTATGGTCCATGACCCAACATATTAAAAGAGATTGTGGGATGACCAACGACAAAGAAGAACCGACCATCATGTACGAGGACAATGCTTCATGCGTAGCTCATCTTAAGGACGGCTACATCAAAGGAGATAGGACGAAGCACATTCTACCAAATTGTTCTTCACCCACGATTTACAGAAAGCTGGCGAGGTCCAAGTGCTACAAGTTCGTTGAAGTGACAATTCAGCATACCTATTCACCAAGTCACTTCCAACCTCACCGTTCAAGAAGCTCACGCATCAGATTGGAATGCGTCGACTCAAAGACCTTCAGTGAGGTACAAAACAGGGGGAGTAATACGTGTTGTACTCTTTTTCCTTATCCATGGTTTTACCCAGTTGTATCCCTTTGGGTTTTTGAGGTTTTTCCTAAAAAGTTTTAATGAGGCAACATCCAAAGCGTATTACATGGTTATTGCATCCAAGGGGGAGCGTTATAAACCCTATTGTGGATTGCCATACGAAACCTTAACTGGGACCTGAACCGGAACCAGAACCAGAACCGAAACAATATCGGACCAGTCCATTAAGTTTCTAGGTTGGCTAGTATTCCGAATCCATATTGAATTAAGCTTTAGTGTTTTTCCTATTTCATGTTGTATTAAGTTTTGTATTATTTTCTTTTCTTAATTGGTTTAGGTTTTTCCTTTTATAGGATTTTATAATTTCTTAGTGAATGAAATAAACACAAGTGTTCCCCATACTTTCCATTATCCTGTTTCATCCTTATATAAATCAATTATCTTGCATATCCTCTCTCATTTCATCCTTAAAAGTCAAAACTGGATTTCAAAATTATATTTTCAATTTCAAGTGAGTATCTTTGATTAAAAGGTTATGGGTGCTTGGGAAATCTAATCACAAACTTTCGTCAAATTTATATAATATATTCAAAAAAAGTCATATATGTTTCATGTAGAGTACTTCTTAAAAAAATCTATTGGTCAATGCATATGCTAGTTTCGTACATTATTATTTCGTGATTTTTTCCTATAATACTTTTAAAGTCTTCTAAGTTTTTTGTATACCAAAAAAAATTGAATACACCTCCCAATAAAGTTCCGATATTAACGATGTTAGTTTTGCAGAAATATAACTTTGTTATATAAAGACTTTTAGATAAGTCTACGGTGAGTAGACTTCTGGAAAAGTCTATAATGTCACAGGAAGGCTCCCAACGTCATAAGAAGTTTTCCAAGTGTTTTTTCATGTTATGGATCTTATGCTGAACATCTTTTATAGATATTATGCTCTGGTTTTTCGTTAATGCTTGTTAAATTTATGCTTAATTATATCGAATGTACTCTACAGAGATTACAACGTTTGCTATGGTAGTAATTGAGCTTTAACAATAAGCATTTGGGAATAGATAGGGGAAGCATGCATAAGTTCTTCACTTTTACGATAGCTGCATAAGCTCCGTAGCAGGGGATGTGAACGATTGACATGCATAAGTACCTGAGATATGTTGTATCGTTCATTAGTAAGACAATTACAACAGCGTTAGAAGTACTGTACGTAGTAGCATACCATAGTGGAGCCCATGGCCTAACTAGCTCGAGAGATGTATATGGCCACCTGAGAGTAGTTTTGTTTGATCATGTATCTTAATGGTTTAAAGAATCAGTGTAGAAGTGTTGATCATCAGACTTCAGTGCTTACCAAGTTTGTAAGCCACATGCGTGGATGATTCATTGGAAGAAAATGTAGAGACAAGTCCATAGCAGAAAATATCCCATCCCAACCCAAGAGAACGTCTGAAACAAGAACATAAGCCATATGTGTTTTGCCACTTTCTTGAAATCTATTTTCTTGTATATTTCAAATCGTTAGTTGGTTGGTCTCTTTGGGTTTTGTTGGTTGTTTTCGACGTGAGGCAACCAGCAGTTTTGACCGTTTGGTAGACTCGTGTAATTTGAATGTTATATAAAACTCAAATGTTTGACCAAACAAGCTTGTAAAGATAGTTGTTTAGTTTATTATTCTCCAATATGTACCCAAAAAATTTATTATCCTCCACATGTGTAATTTTCTTGGATAATGGAATCACGGATGGATGTTTCCATATAAAACAAATACATCTTTCTGGACATAAAATACTTTGCCAAACAATAAAGATCGATAGAATAGAAATCCACATCACGCCTTTCATGCCACGTAGAATCGCATGTTATTTCGTCCATACAGTTTGTGTAATTGTTAGCTTGGTTTTAATTAGGCCTGCCTTCTCTCACTTCAGCGACCCAACTAAGTTCTAAAATATGTGTTTTCTTTACTCAACTCTGGGCCTAGCCCATAGCATTTAAAACTAAAACCTTAGCAAGACAAATAAGGTTGTAACATTTCTTTTTTTTTCTGTTTTTAATATGAAAGCCCAGTTACAGAAAAAAAAAAAAATCTCCAAGACAAATAATCAAGCTAATTTTTTAATCATTTTTACAATTCGAACAGCTAGTGTATCTATCTCATCACTGAAAAGAGAAAAACACAGGAAATAACTTAATACAAGAGCAAGCGTGTTGCTCTAATCCTGGTGGGATCAGCAAAGCGAGAAGAGAAAGACCTAGCAAGATTCTCGGGCTCATCGTGGTCGTGCCAACCAGACCCTTGATCAAAATTCAAAGAGTAATCGTCAAGCTCATAAGCTGTGACCTTTGTGACTCTAGAAGAAGGCAACAACTTGAGCTTCCTCAACAGAACTGTCCACTTCGGCAAGAGTCTCTCTTCAATAGATCTTCTTCTTTGTTGCTTCTGCGCTCTGCAACTTTTACTATATCTTCCAAGTACAATTGTCTCTCTATAAGATGAAGCTGATGAAAACAGCTTCCATCTCTTCTTGCTTGGAGACTCAAACATCATTTTTCTTCTGTCTTCTTTTTCTTTTTGGATTGGTTGAATTCTTTTTGTATGTCTTTTGATTTGAATATCTTAGCTGTGTTTTATATTGTAGTTCATGGATGGATATATACGCTCGTAAACGAGAGACAAATTCAAAGTCAGCTTTACCAGTCTTATTAGTCTGCGTTAGCCAATTGTCTGAGTAATTAATTCGGAAAAGCAAGCATTTTAGATGCATGTGTCTTTGACTAAACTACAATATTTTTTTTTTTTTTTTTTTTTTTGGCACAAGACTAAACTACAATATAATAGTCAAAGAAGACATTTTCCTCCTGTGTTGACGTACGATAGTCCCTAAGACATATAAAAACATTATATCAGTTTCTAAGAACATCTCTGACAACAAGATATCGTTGTGCTTTTTAATTATAAAATTTTATTATTTTATCCTAGATTAATCATATTACGAAAAATTTAAATTAGAGTGAAAAACTAAACCAACTATTATGAAACATATAGAAAATATTTCAAAGGTTCTTAAAGTACTGTATCTTCTTTTTTGTTTTTCTTTAGGAAGGGTTATTGGTAGAAAAATTCTTAAACACTTTTAAAGGTTTCATTGTTTTTGGTCTATATATTCTTAAAGTGTAAGTAAAATTTATTGTTATCAGTTTGCGGATTTTTAAAGCAACTCGAATTCTTGTAGTTCAAAAAAGTTTAGCTATAATTAATTTCTAATTCTAACAGAATACATGAAGTCTGAACATTTTTAATTCCAACACACCTTTATTTGACCCAAAAGAAAAGATGTATATCTTTAACCTTATAGTAAAAAAAAAGTTGGTCTCAGAAATATGATAGAGACCGAACATTAAAATTTAAATTATTGCGTAGTTTGGGTTAAAACTAAAGTCTGTTCAAAAAATAAAAAATAAAAAAACGAAAGTCTGTTCCATATATATGTACGTACCATGCATTAAAACTAAAGTCACGTAATTTACATCAAAACCAAATTCTGTTTTGACATTTGCGCAGTGCCGTCCCTAACATTGTGGTGGCCCAAAGCATAATATCTCAGCATCACTTTTAACTTTGCTTGTAATACCATTTTTAGAAGTTTAAGCTCCTTTAAACAAAAAAAAAAAAAGAAGTTTAAGCTCCAAACATAAATAATTTTAATTTTTTTGTAAATACTACCACAACAGCCATTGTTTATTTTAAAATTCAATTCAAACACACTTTATGACTGATTATTAATCAATTTACTAACAAGATTTTATGATCTGCCCATACAAACTAAAGAAATAAGAAGAAGCTAACAATTAAAAACCAGAACTTGAGAAATACCAGAATCCAATCGTTAGGAATCAGATGTAAACAAGGAGGTATTCAAAGGCAAAATTATTTGTGTATTCATGAAGAGGATCAAAATTCTTTATAGTAATGACTGGAAGGTTTTTGTTGTTTGACAAGAAGTTAGATTTTTTTTTAATTATATTTCGATAACTACAACATAAAAAATGGAAATTGACAAAAGTAAATTCCTTTTAACATTGGTTTAAAAAGAGGAAAGCACGTGTATTTGTTGTTTGATATCAAGCCAAATCAAATGAGAAATATTGTACACGAAATATAAGATGTGACCTAAATATTTTCTTTAAAAAATATGGCTAAAGCTAATGTTTTAGCTGCCTTATAAGAGGCACTGGCCTGCATTTGCGGATAACATATTTTTAAGTCGTAAATAAACTAGATACTCATGTTGATCTAAAGAGAGTGCAGTTGATTTTAATAATAGGTTAGCAAGAACTTGGAAGCATTTTACAAATAAAATTAATGGAAACGTGTTAAATATGTACTTTCCAACTAAAATAACTTGAGAACATATGTACTTTCCAACTAAAATGCCTTGAGCACATATGTAAATATATATCTATATATGTACAGTATAACCTCTATAAATTAATACTCCATAAATTAATAATCTCTATTAATTAATAAATTTTGTTGGTTCCAGTTTGGCCCGGTTCAAAATTTGACACAAATCGATAAAACAATAAGATAATATTTTTTTAAAAAACTTTGTGTAAACATATGGTCCCATTCAAATAATAAATTAATAGTTTATATAAGTAAGAACCTTTTATTATATTTTTCATTTTGTATTCACAGTAAAATTATCTATATATGTTTGACACTTATTATAGTTTTGATGAGATTTAGTAATTTTATATCTAAAACCTCATTTAATTCTATGAAATATATATTATATACCCCAAATAATATAATAAAGTTAATACTAATGTCAAATTAAAAAAAAAGTTAATGTCTAAACACTAAAATCAAATACTTTTCAAATCTTAGAATAAATATATCTTAAAGAATCTAAATAAATAAATTTTCATAAATTAACATTTGTATAAATTAATAAAATTTCAACGTCCCAACATTATTAATGTATAGAGGTTTTACTATATTAGGAGAAAGCGAAGTACATAAACTTGCTATGTATTATCAACAGAGCCGGTCCTCCCTGAGTTAAGCCAGATGAAACATTGGTTTTAGATCGTTTAGACCCTCAAATCCCTAAATAAAGATTTAGGTGTAATCGTCAAAAAATATCTTAGACTTCCTAATTTTCAGGATCGGACCTCATTATCAACTCTTTGTTTGCTATAAGCGGCATATTAGGGGTCCGATTGGTAGAGGCTGTAGCTTTAATTTTTTTGCTGTAAGTTTTTTGCTGTATTTTTAAATTTTAATGTTTTAAAATTTTCGCTGTAAACAAAATAGCTCATGCGATATCGTCATGCTTAAACTAAAAATCAGTGTAATCAAACTAATACGACAAAAGAAAACTAGTTAACTAGTTTATTTATTTAACCTATTTTTTCAATAAAAAATTAAATGAAATAATTTTTTTTTTTGGAAAGCTAAGCTGTGGATATTTGGATTTCTAAAGCACTCCCACAGAAGTTTGTTTCTAAATTGTTGTAGACATCCAACTGTTAAAAAAGCATGATTGCTTTAGATTTAGTGCTTTAAGTTTAAAAAGTGTTGTGTGCAGCACTCACAGCTTTTGCCAATCACCACCTAGATGTCATGTTTGTTAGAGCATGTCAATGGTGAGACTCACTAGAGTCCTTAGCGAAAGGGCATTTAAGATTAATCCTGGATATTTCGGATTTTGTTTTTAAAAAAAAAAAGAAAAAAAAAAGATGACCATTCACGGGCCGCCACGTGGTCAATGGGGCCCGTGAACAGTGTAAGAATTAATCCTTAGTAAAGGATTTTAAGCATTCTTTTTGACACAAATTCTAAGAAAATAGGCTCCACATTCTCTAAGGACTCCCTTAAGAGTCACCATTGCACATGCTCTTATATCTTTAGACTAACTATCTCGTTGGTTGGAGTGCTATGCCTAGATTTTTAGATTTGCGGGAGAATTTCACCTTCAGTGAATGATTCTCATGTTACTCATTCTTCTTTTTTTTTTTTTTGCAGGTGAATCGGACGAGTTATTGAATATCTGAACAGTTTGATATCTCTGGAGATCATCGCATTTTTCTTTTGGATTTATTATCATGTTGCTCGTTTTACGGATTATCAGTTATTTTTTATTTTTTATTTGGCTATTTGATTTATCAGATTTATGGGAAAATAAAAATCTTATGTTAATAAGTTTTAAATTTGAACCTCTATAGAAAGGATGGACATGCATTACGATTTTGTTAATTTGCTTATATGTTTTATATTAAAGTTAGTATTTGTTATTTATATTAAATTTTAGATTTTCTATTTTCTTATAAAAGTATATTTTCTATTCAATATCTTTGCAGATCTGCTGATGATATATGTAAATAGATATGTACAGAATTATATATATATTTTTTTATGAAAAAACAAGTTGTTCAAATTTTGTATAAGTCTTACAACCTTATATTTAGTATAGTTATTCAGATTTTTAAAAGTAATAGAGTGAACTAGTGTTAATGTTATTGTCTTTTTACTTAAAAGTATATTTATCTTATGGATTAAGTCAAATATCTAGATAAAATACATCTTTTAGCCAATATCATAGCTTGGGAGTTTATATCCTAACCAAAACCAAACAAAAAAATATGAATCCGATCCAAACCATTTTAAAGATGTCTAAATAGTGCTAAGAGCTATGTATTTTGGGGTTTGGGTAGAACTCTAACCAAACTAAAATCCATATTATGTTCATAAATATCCTAATGTAGTTTAGATACTTTTAGAGTATTTCCTATATTTTGTATTTTCTATATCAATTTCTTTTTATTTCAAATACTTTCGGTTAGGTTAGATAGTCTGATTAAATATTAGTCAAATTTTTGAATAAATTGAATATTTTGATTTTTTTTTCAGTTCATTAGTTTTTAAAAGATTTAATAGAGATTTTAGACATTAATTATAAACCGAACCAGTCGTGACTAAGGAGGAAGTAAACTGAATCAACTCAAAAAATTAGAAAACCGATATTTTTTTATCAAAAAAAAAAAAGAAAACCGATATTTCAGATCGAATTGCAACAGATAGTTTGAATAAAATTTGACAGATATTCTGTCCACTCCTTATTTGTGCCCATTTGAGTTTACAGGTAGTAAATAAATTTAACATAACTAATCTTCAGACCATTAAATCCATTGTAGCATAATGGCCGAATTCAACTTCATTTGTTCCAATCTCGATTCGACCCTCGTTTTCTAAAGTTGGTAATATACTATTAGTCCCCGCTTTACATTTTTTTCTTATAATTCGCTTGCTCACATCCGCTGCGAGAGTTACAGCAGGAATGCTAAAGACTTAATTTGGCCTAGATGCTGATAAGAGATCCCACACTTATGTAGAGTACATGCTTAGCTAATCATTTATTCAAGGGATTTGACTTGAATCGTTTGTAAAGTACAACCAGTCTTTGCTGCCAAAATGTTTAACAGATCAATATAAACTGTTGTTCAACTTGGAATAACTAAAATTCTATCCGCTTTCACCTTTGGAGTAGATTTGTAATAGCGAGCATTGACTATCAAGTCGGCAGTAGACGAAAATATTTGAAAACACTACTTATATGTAT